TCTACATTTAATACGAATTTGGTATTGATATGTGTTGAGCTAATGCAAGTAGAGGAGCTAATGCAAGTAGAGGAGCAGAATTGAGTTTATTTCATCAATCTGAGTGAATTCAATGGGGGGAAACTTCATTTATACATTTGGTTACAAATTGAAAAAAATGAGGGAAAAAAGAACAATTGAAGAGTAGTTATAACTAGCTACTAGTTTAATTATTCAGTTTACTGCTAAATAAACTTATTCAAAAACTAATTATTCTTAGAATTTAGATCTTAATAGCCCTTCTCAAGCCGAGAATGGTTGATGTTTATCATGTTAATCTTGGAAACAAAGTTATTGAACTTAGAAGTAGGTGATCAACGGTTTTTCCACTTTTATTTACAGTGGGTTTTAGTTATAGTTTCTTTATTTTGTCAAGTGTTTTAGTCCTTTCTTCTATATTTTATGCGTTGGTTCTGTATTTTTGTTGTTTTCAGGCTCAGAAGGAATAAAATCAAGAAAATCACTATGAAAAGTTCAGATTGCGGAGTTTCGGAGGAAGTCTCAAAAACCAAGCTACAGGGTACCTGACAAGACCGTCAGTTTCTCCTGACACGGGTCGTGTCAGGAGAGGATGCTCAACAAGCGGTTTGAGAGGCAGAGGCAGAGAACGACACGGGTGCCCGTGTCAGCTGACACGGCCCGTGTCAGAAGGTCTGAGAAAGATGATTTATTGGTACGACGGACAGAGAACGACACAGGTTCCCGTGTCAGGTGACGCGGACGGTGTCGGCCAGGATGTTGATTTTGAGTGTTTTTATGATTTTTCATGATTTTGGACCCAGAGGGGTGTTTTGGGCATTTCCGACTGAGGCAAATGGATTGTTCACTATTTAACCACGTTTGAAAGAGGAATGAAGGGACTTTTTGACAGCGAAGAATAGTTTGCACGACTGAAGATTGGGGAGATCAAGGTTCTTGGATAGCGGAAGATTCTCATGAGTGAAAGCAATTGAAGATCGAAGTTATCCAATTACTTGTAATGTCTAATCTTTATCTTGTGATTATTTTTTAATAATATGAGTAGCTAAACCCCCAATTCTAGGGGGTGTCCCTGATTTGACTCTGTAAACGATTTTGATTCCTGAATTTCTTTTATACAATAGTCTTCTCTATTTGATTTAATTGTACAATATTTTTATGCCTTTCTGATCGGACAAATTATGATTGATTTACGGTTAACAACCAGCTGGACCACGGTTGTTAAGGTTTTTGTATAATTAGGTTATAGTAGATATCACCTAGGACTAGGGATACCCTATAGTTACCAGATTTGACCCTTGATAAAATAAAGGCTTGACTCCATTAGATATCTCTAAGGACTTAGGGTGTAGGATGGATGATTAAAGATTTTCCCACTAAGGACTTAGGGAAAGATAATCTAAAGGGCTGGTAATTGAATGTTATGAACTTGTTGAAGAGATCAGAATTCAAGGTTGTTAAATAGCAAATTATACACCATACCCTAGCATGCTCCTCATATCTGTGAAAAAACCCTAATTTACATTCTACTTATTTTTATTTCTGCTAAGTGACAATTCCTAAACCAAAACCTCAATTAAAGTTTTTGTTTAATTGAACTCGATAATTACATGCAGTCCTTGAGATCAACATTCGGGGAATTTCCCATTATTAGTGCAAGGAAAAAATAGTACACTTACTATTTTTCCCATCAGTAGGTAAACCCTTTGTCAATAAATCTATGAGTTGCTCTTGTTATGAGATTGGAAATATGCGCAACAAGCCTTGTTGAACCTTTCTACACACAATATGACAATTAATTTATTGGTTTTTCTTCCTCTCATAAAAAAGTGGTTCAGAAGCAATGTGCATGACATGACACCCTAAAACTCTAAATTCTTTTTTTAAAGCATGAATAGTGGAACATATATTTTATATAATAAAGCAGAGCATCACATTAACTTAAAGAACATAAACATTCTCATATATGAATACTTGATTAAAACATAATTAAAACACAATAATTTAAAAAAAATGAATCCCGACCCCAATGTCACAATACTAGAAGCTTACTACGAATTAATTGTACTAGTAGACTTGACAATTCAACATATATAAACACAAAATAAAATTAATGAAGTCATCTTCTACATCATCCTCAAGAAGAGTATTACACTGCAATTATGCTTCAGTCTCAACATGAGGATATCCTTCATATGATTCAAATTATAGAGACATAGAAATAGAGGGATGATAGTATATTCTACAAAGTATAAGTTATAATACTTATCATATGGAAACACAAAATATCATATGGAAACACACTTAGCAGATGGAACCTATTATTCCTCAAAAATACAGATGCCCAATTCGCTTTTAAGCTTTCAAATTGATTTGCATCCAAAGCTTTGGTAAAAATAGCAGCCAGTTGTTTCTCAGTGACCACATGCTCAAGAGTAATCACTGTGTCTTCAATAAGATCTCTGATAAAATGATGACGAATGTCAATGTGCTTCGTCCTGCTATGTTGAATAGGATTCTTTGAAATGCTGATAGCACTAAGATTGTCACAGTATAATGTCATGACATCCTGCTTGATATTATATTCCTTTAACATTTGTTTCACCCATATTAGTTGTGAACAACTACTTTCAGCTGCAATATACTCAGCTTCAGTAGTAGACAAAGTGTTAAGTCTTTGATTTTATGATTGGCAACAATTTTGATAAAACAAATAGTTGGCAATAATTTTATCAAAACATATTTCATTGAAACGTGTATTACAACATAATATTGAACAAGATGTCATAACATCTAGAGTATGCTGGTACTTTATTTGAGAGATGTTCTAACATATGTTGTAATATGTTACAACAGAACATCATGACAATACAACTGGATAATATCCTTTTGAGACTGCTGCTTCTCAAAAGAAGACACCATGATTTCAATAAGAAAATCCACCCTCTCTTTCCAGGGATCTTTCTTAGAGACCATTTTGAGCTGCATAAATCCATAATGTCAAAAACATAAGTTGTGTGCAGTTACATGTGCATTTAGGAACATGTAAACATACATCCTGTAACTTAAAAACAATTCGGTAGAACATAATAATGCAAAATGATATCAACCAAATCTTGTGTAATGAAGTAAAATCTCAATCTGAAGGTATCATTAATAGTTAGGGGATCACCCGATAGATGATATAAAAAGAAAGATATTTACGGCTAGCGGCAACTGCCATTCCACCGCGAGATATCGATGTTCATGTGTTGCATCCTGGGAACTTTCTTCGGTGTTGCATTTTAATTTTTCGCGCTCATCATTTGACGTTTTTAAATTGTCTACATGAGAAGGTATCATCGTGTCCAAGAGTGTTGACAGAATGCGCGTTAGAAGGGGACGCACCCTTGATGCCACCAATCTATTTCTGTTTCTCAAACATCATCTAAAGATGTTTCCCTTGGTTTTATATTTGAATCCCCAACTTCCTTTGAATTAGTAGCAACTTATGTTTCTGCTGCAGCCTATCATCATATAACATGAAATTTAATGATATCATATAGCAAAGGTGTATTGCATATCAGTGGCCGACACTAACAGAACGCAGATACATATGATTATGTTCAATTAATTTATTTCTCTAAGAACACTTGAAAAACATTTGAAAAACAGACTTCGAGATAAATAACCAAAGCCGAAGTCAACTATAGTTATCTAAGAATTGAGTTACCTTATTTTTTAAATACATTTCTTCTACCCCTGATTCAACTGCATCAACGCAAGGCAGACTAAACCGAGATAAACCTTATGTTAATCCAATATCTGCAAACTGGATAATTTTTGTTATACTTGTCCATGGCAACAACCAAACATTTTCTACAAAATGTGTGACCGCAAGATATGGTGACTGGCTCAAAGAATATATTCAAGCAAATCTGCTGCAAGTGAAAGAATAAAAAACACGATTACAACATGAGCAGAAAAGTATGAAAATAATTAAAGACTATGAAAATAATTAATCACATGACTTATCGTGCAAATAAAGTCATCCCTAAGTTTCTCAATGCATGAAAGAGGTACAAAATAAGTGGAAGACAAGTCAGAATCCATAGTTTTTGTTGAGTGTTGATAACAAAGAAACCTCAACCTCAATAATTAGCAAAAAAGAATGAATCTGAGAAATGCAATGAAATGATTTAGATTAGCAAAAAATAACTCATGAACAAAAGTTGAATCGATGTATTTACTTGAATATGGAAGCTTGCAAGTTGAAGAAGAGGGAACGTCGCTGCAACGGAAAATCAGCAAGGAATGACAATAGATGCCGCGATGCAAAGAGTATTTATCTGAATATGAAAGCTTGCAAGTTGAAGGAAGATGAAGAAGGGGCAGGCGAAAGAGAAAGAAAGAGCTTTTTGAAAACATGAAATTGGATAGAGTGAGTATGTGGAAAATATAAAGTAGTATTGAAAGTCTAAAGAATTTTAAAAAAAAATATCTGAAAAATATAAATTACATTAATAAGCATGATGATTAAAGTTAATATTTTAGTACACGTTTTATCCTCGAAAAAGAGATAATTGACCGATCAGAAAAAAAGAAAAACTAAATTGTCTTTTCTAGACCATATTATTTTTTTATATAATTGATTAAACCATAAATAAATTAGCCGTATGTAACTCAATAAAATTCACAAAATCACACCATTGAAAATAGTGATTATCAACATTCTAACAATTGTTAACAACTAAGTATAATTGTTTCAAAAAATAAAAATTAAATTAAATAAGTCATCAATTCCCAACCTACCTTTTTGTCTTTTATCAATAAAAAAATAATAAAAAATGCAAAATAAAATAAAATAATTTTCAAATAATCAAAATAAAAAATGCACACAAACATACAAATCAATCTTCAATCCTTTGATTAAGAAATGCAAAAGATTCTTCTTCACTGAAACTCTCCTACAAATACAAAAAAACTGGTAATGCTTCAAAACGATGTCGTTTCACCCCTTCCTCAACAACAAAATCCCAAACCCTAATTTCCCTTCTCCGCCATTGAAGACCTGGCTCAACTCCAAAACCTCTGATTCCTTCAACAACATGGTCCTTGCCATGCAGCTTAACTCTCTCAGTGACCCCAATTCCAAAACCCTAATCCCCAATTTCGACTTCACACTTCTTCTCTCCGACGAAATTCTCCTCAGAATCATCTCCAAACTTCCGAATTCGCAATTGAAATCGAACTCACTCGTTTCGAAACGGTGGTTGAATCTCCAAGGAAGATTAATTCGGTCGTTGAAAATATTCGATTTGAACTTCGTTTTATCAGGTAGGTTAGTTTATAGATTCCCTAATCTTATACATGTTGACTTGGTTCCTTCGACTTTCGTTGTTTATCCTCAAAAAGGTTCCGTTTTGGTGAGTCACAGTGTTGTTTCAATGCGGGTTGACACTGGGTGGTGTTTCGGGTTTTCCGAGGAAGGGAAAAAATTGCTTCCGGTTGAAGCAATTGATAAGGGGCTCAAGGAAGTTGCGAAAGGGTGTCCAAATTTACGGAAGTTGGAGGTGACAGGTGGGAGTGAAGAGGGTTTGGTTAGTATTGGGGAAGAGTGTGTAACATTGATGGAATTGGAGTTGCATAAATGTAATGATAATGTTTTGCGCGGGGTTGCGGCGTGTAGGAATTTACAAGTGGTGAAGTTGATTGGGAGTGTTGATGGGTTTTACGAATCAGTGGTTTCGGATATTGGATTGACTATTTTGGCGCAAGGGTGTAAGAGGTTAGTGAAATTGGAGCTTGTTGGTTGTGAAGGTAGTTTCGATGGGATTAAAGCCATTGGGTCGTGTTGTTTGATGTTGGAAGAGTTGGTTTTTGTTGATCATAGGATGGATGATGGGTGGTTAGCGGGTGTTTCGTTTTGTGAGAATTTGAAGACTTTGAGGTTTGTGTCGTGTAAGGGGATTGATGGGAATCCGGGATTGGAGGAACATTTAGGGTTTTGTGTTGCACTTGAAAGTTTGCATTTTCAGAAATGTCAGTTGAGGGATAAGAATGCAATGGGAGCTGTTTTTTCGGTTTGTAGGGCGGCCAAGGAGGTCGTTCTTCAGGATTGTTGGGGGTTGGATGACGGTGTTTTCCGTTTGGCCGTTGTTTGCAGGTAATGTGAATGTTATTTGAAGTTTTGAATTGGTTAGTAATGTTGTTGCTGTTGAGTTTTAGCATGTATTTGTTTATCGTTTGGCGATGAAAAAACACTTTTCTCGAGACACAATGCGATATTTTGTACCTTTGTTGCTGATGAGATTTATAAATTTGTTTGATAGCTTCACCAATGTTGGCAATTTAACATGTCTTTGTTTATCCTTTGACAATGTAAATACACTTTATTTTTTAGACACGGTGCATTATTTTGTTCCTTTTATTGTTAATCAGAGTCGTGTTAAGTTTTTGGAGGTCCTGTATAGGTTAGCCATGGTTCAACCATAACAAAACAATTATAGGCCCTATTTAATCACGTTTTAACAGTGACAGAGATTTTACGAAACCTTATTTAGGTAGGGTTTAATCGTGATAAATTTTGGGTCCTGTGCGATAGTCTGTCTTGCACACCCTCAAATACGGCCCTATTGTCAATGCATCTTTAGTCATTAGATCATGATTGGACAGATTGTAATCCGAGTTTGCATTTGAAAACTGAATGGAAATATGAATTGTCTGATGTTGATCTGACATCAAGGTATGCTTACTGCAGTGACTGTATTTTGACTGCAGTCAACCTAGATTCCTAAGAAACTCTATCGATATTTTGGGATCAAATATATCTTTGCAGTTATCCAAAATGTAATCCAAACTTGCAATGAGAAACTGATAAGTAATTTCTGTTACAAATCACTCTATATTATTCCGAGTTACTTAATGTTTGTTGTTGCTTGGTTTCATTTTCAGGCGAGTAAAACTGTTTGACATAGAAGGATGCTCATTGCTTACAACTGAAGGTTTAGAGTCCGTCATTGAATCATGGAATGATCTTGAGTGCCTTAGAGTTGTCTCGTGTAAAAACATAAAAGACAGTGATATCTCTCCTGCACTCGCAACGTTATTTACGACTCTCAAAGAGTTGAAATGGAGGCCGGATACAAAACATCTTCTGCCATCAAAGGAGGTAAACATGGGGAAAAAAGGCGGTAAATTTTTCAAATGAACGCGATCTTTGAACTAGCTATATACTGTCATAATCTAAACACAGAAAAACTCAATAACAGAGACAACAAACTTGTAACATTATGTAATCATGTAGTTAGTTTATATGGTTAATTGATACATTGACCATTGATGAAGCTTAGATTTGTTAACTGCAGGATTATATGTTATATGTTCATATAGAGATGTAATCCAACATGATTAGTTGTTATACACTTTATCTTAGTGATGTAATTATGTTTATTTAGCTTAATCCAATTCACTCCATGTTGAAAATGGGTGACTTGTACTCCCAGATTATTTTTCTTGTTCATTCCGTAGTAGTAATTTTTTCTTCTCTTGATTTTTAGTTTTATAAAATTATCTTTATTGATTTTTAGAGTTAGTTATTATAACAAAGTATAGTAAAATATAACACTGAATTAAAAGTGATGTCACGGTATTTATTTAAAGAAAACAAAATACATAATTAATGTTGATATTAAAAATTAATATTGATATTATTCTCGACTTTTTATTTTAGATAGTAATAGAATTAAACTAATTTTTTTTTTATAGAAATACTCTAATAGTTAATTTTAATAATTGAAAAAAAATTATGGTAAATTTTTTGATACCCATGGGTTTAAGTTGGGTTTCAGTAACATTAGTGTAAATTGTATTAAAATCATGATTTATTTTAAAATAAAATAAAAAAGTGATATGCCATTGAATTATAGTGTTTTATTAGTTGAGGGTACTAATACCGAACTAAATTCATGATTTATTTTAAAATAAAATAAAAAAGTGATATGCCATCGAATTATAGTGTTTTATTAATTGATGGTACTAATACCCAACTAAATTCAAGGGTATTAGAGTATTCACCAAAAATTATTACTCTTTTATTTACTTAATACTATTATTTGTTGGGTACTAGAGTGTTCACCAAAAATTATTACTCTTTTATTTACTTAATACTATTATTTGTGGGACAACGAGAGAAATACTTAGAAGATATTTTTGTTTTACGTTAATACAACATTTTATGTGACTATAAAATATAGAAGTGAATAGGGGTGTTCGCGGTATAGTTTAGACGGTTTTGACATTAAAAATCATTTAAATAGTAAGAGGAAATAATGTGCGATTTGATTTGGTTCGGTTGACTTTTAGGGAAAAAACAAACCAAATCAATGTGGTTTGATTCGGTTAGGTTGGTTTGATTTTTTATAAATATTTTATTGAGCCATACATACACATATAAATGACAACATAATTTTGAATTTAGTCATTCACACACTACTAAATAATACAAAACTCATCATATTTGAACAATAACTTTCCATTTAATATATAAAAATTAAATTAGACAAAAGTGAAATAAAAAACTAAAAATAATTTTAGCATAAAACAATATCAAAAATATTATAATGAAATAAAAAATAGAAGATATGAGAGATTAGTGATGATGAAAAAGAAAGAACGTAAGAAAGGAGAGATTAAAGAAGAAGAAGTGCGATAAAAATGAAATTGAAAGAGGAAACACTTGTATAAAAATGAGAAGTGCAAAAGAAAGAATATAAGAGGGTAGATATTAGAGAAGAAAAGCCAAGATGTATGTGGCAAAGAAGATACGATAATGCTGAGAGAGATTTGAGAAGACTGAAATTGAAATCATAAGTGTAAGGATGAGAAAATTGTTCGTAATCATAAGACTAAGGTATAATAGGTTTAGGTTTGGGTTGGAAGTGAGTTAAGTAAAATTTAGGTTGTAACATAATGTGGTTGATTCGGTTTGGTTTGGTTTGTAAAATACAAACTGTAAATTGAACTGTGTGGTTTTGTTAAAAGATTACTCAAACACATTCGAACTAAATGTGATTTTTTGCGGTTTCAATTTGGTTTAGTTCGACTTGTGGTTTTCTATTGGGTTGCTTCATTTTTGAACACCCCTAAAAGTGAAAAAAGAAGAAGGTAAAATATTCTTTTTGGTCCCTTATGTTAACTTCAAGGTTCATTTTGGTTCCTTAATTTAAAAAAGGGTTCATATTGGTCCTTTAACTCTGTAAAGCGCTTCATTTTAGTCTTTTTTGTCTAATTAATGACGAGTTTAGCAATCGATTTCTGAGTTTTTTTTACCGCTAATTAGACAAATGGGACTAAAATGAAATGTTTTTAAGAGTTAAGGGACCAATATGAATCTTTTTTAAATTAAGAGACTAAAATGAACTTTGACGTTAACATACAGGACCAAAAAGAGTATTTTTGTCAAAGAAGAATAACTTACACATGGGTGCACGATCTATAGTTGTCAATAATCAATATATAAGAACTAAATGCAGTAATATTTATTTTGGAGATTGCACATATTTAGGGTTAATAATTATTTCTCCCTCTGCCATATAGGGTGAATCCCAAAAATAATCCTGTAAAAAAAACACAAATTTCATCATTGTGATTTGAAGATCCCCTCGTTTTAATTCTTTAGTGGATCTGGTCACTTAAAATATTGATGTGGAATTTACATGTTGGCATTTTTAGTTAAAATGAGTAACATGTGGCTTTATTTCAATTTATTTTTTTTATTTCCAACCACAGTGTTAAATAATATAAAATAATACAGATTAAATTGCAAATTGGATTATCTTCTTATTCTTCTTAGTATGCGCAACCTCTAGATCTAGGATTCATCTCAACAAGGCTTCATCTTGAACACCTTCTTCATCTGTCATCCGTAATTTTCACCTATGGTAGGAAGCGTAAGTTCAGGGATCAAATCCATTGGAAGAAAAGCTCCAATTTGTGGGCACGAGCTCCCTATGAGAATCTTTGTTTCGAAATCAAGCTCAAATCTAGGAAGAAGATATTGGAAGTGTAGAAATTGGGGGTTTATTCAAATTTCTTCATATCCCTTTTTCATACCTAATTTAATGGTGTTGTATCTTAATAGTTTTCCAGATTTCATTTTTTTAAATCTTCGTACGTTTCATATATTTTCCAGAACGATGATGATTGTCATCTATTTTACTGGGACGATGAGCTTGAATGTGGCAATCGTGATGAACCAAGGTATGATGGAGGTTGCATTGAAAGTGAGAAGATGATGGAGGTTCTGAGGAATTATGTAGTAGAGTTTGGGGAGAATTTTGTGCATGAGTAACACAAATGAATAGAAATAAATTTATACCTTTTATTGGTCATATATGAATACATATCTTATGTGTTTCCCAATATCTTCCATAAGCAGTTGTAAGAACCACCTCCAACTTTCCTTTGCCTATGTCTCCACAACACCAAATACTAGGGGAAAGTACTGATCATTTAGATCCCTTGCCACAACAATAAGTAGTTGGCCACCATACTTTGTCTTCAGGTGACAGCCATCTACCCCAATAAATGGTATGCAACTATGGAGAAACCCTTTCTTGCAGCCATCAAAACAAAAGTAGAAACTACTCAACCTTGGTGGAATTGTTGGAATTGGCCTCTCCACATTGATCTTCACAGTATTTCCATCATTTTATTTTTTAAGTTTTGTAGCATAACTATATAACATAGATATTACCTACATGAGTCCCCTTCAATAATTTATTCAGCTATGTGTTTGGCCCTCCATGCCCTTCCTTTAGAAATTTCAACTGAGTATTTACTCCTTAGTTCTGTCATTAGATCTGAAAATTTGACCTTGTCAGTAGATTGCCTCTTTTCTACCACAATCTTAGACATCCACTTTAAGTTTGCTGACTTGTTATTCAATATCCTAGCACATGTATGGGTCTCCACTAAAGTATTTATTTGAAAAGTGTGTTTGTCACCAACTTTACTACAAAGGGTTAAAAAACCACATTTACCCCTACATTCTACCCTAACCCTATTACTTTCATTTTTCACAAACCTAATATCTCTACCATTTAGAACAGACCATTCTCTTATAGCATCCTTAAATTCAACAAGAGAAATAAATTCCATACCTAGTTTGAACTCATAGTCTTTGTTGAGCAAATCCCCTCTCTACTTCTCATACTTGGACATCCTTTCGTTGTCACTAACATCTGGATCAGAACTACCCAACTCTTCACTTTCATAATCTCCATCTTGCTCTACAACCTTTGATGAACTAGGTTTGTCATCAATGACCCTTGAAGGAACACACAACTTGATTTTTTTGGGAGACTTTAAAGTTGATGTATCCTTGTTAGCTCTTAACTTGTACCTGAGTTTCTTACCAGAGACTTCAACCATATTACCTTCATCAGGTCTATAAACCTCCATAACCATGAAACCTTTGTTTTCATCATTCACTCTTTCTTCCTCGTTGTCTCCAAATGTTATCCCTACAGAGTCTTCATCTTCAGCGTCATCACTCTCTTCACCAACATCAACTATATTTGGATTCAGCGTCCTCTTTATGTTGTCTCCAACAATGTGCTCAAGCTAAATATGTCATTCAATGTTGTGCAAAATAGAATGATCGACAATATCCGTAACGTGAACATCTTCAGTCACGTGGAAGAAACTTTATTCAATACCTTCGATTTTCCTCCACATTCAGATTCCACTACCGTCGAATCCACACGATATTACTAAGCTCATAACTTCGTAGTAGGACCATGTATCTGAATCTTGCCCTTAACAATAGTTTCAGTACCTCCTATGTAAAAGAACATGGCTTTCTTGCACAAACTGACCACCACGGTGAAAGCATAAGTTGAACAGTGTCATCCCTACAAATGGAAAAAGCATGCATGCATGTGTTAAGAATCATGAACAATGGAGGCAATCGTGGTTTGGTTTAGTAAAAATAGAAGAAATCGTACCTGACACAGCTTCACAAGTTGCCAATGAAGTCTTCTTAAACTTGGAGGAGACGATGAAGAACGAAGTTTTCTAAATTAGATTTTCAGGGGGTGAACAAAATGAATTGAGTGACTTTTTATTTCAATTGTTTTAACTAATTACATAATTACATCAATTGATATTTTGTAAATAAATAAATTGAAATAAAACCATGTGTTACTC